ACCTTTCAGGAGAGCATTTGCAAGCGTTTGCAACCATTTTTGAATGAATTGCCAAAAGTCAGATTCTTGCTGAAATTGTGACCCTGGGGCTTAGGGATTTTTTCAAAAAATATTTTCCGCCGGTTATGTTGCTGAGGGCTGATTTCTTGTTGTTTGATGAAAAGCCTTCTGATTCGACTGCCAAACCTTTCAGGAGAGCATTTGCAAGCGTTTGGCACCATTTTTGAATGAATTGCCAAAAGTCAGATTTTTGCTGAAATTGTGACCCCGGGGCTTAGGAATTTTTTCAAAAAAATCTTTTTCCGCCGGTTAAGTGATCGAGGGCTGATTTCTTGTCCTTTGATGAAAAGCCTTCTGTTTCGACTGCCAAACCTTTCAGGGGAGCATTTGCAAGCGTTTGGCACCATTTTTGAATGAATTGCCAAAAGTCAGATTTTTGCTGAAATTGTGACCCCGGGGCTTACGGATTTTTTCAAAACATATTTTCCGCCGGTTATGTTGCTGAGGGCTGATTTCTTGTTCTGTCATAAAAAGCCTTCTGTTTCGATTGCCAAACATTTTGGGAGAGCATTTGCAAGCGTTTGGCACCATTTTTGAGTGAATTGCCAAAAGTCAGATTTTTGCTGAAATTGTGACCCCGGGGCTTAGGGATTTTTTCAAAAGAATCGCTTTCCGCTGGTTAAGTGATCGAGGGCTGATTTCTTGTCCTTTTATGAAAAGCCTTCTGTTTCGACTGCCAAACCTTTCAGGGGAGCATTTGCAAGCGTTTGGCACCATTTTTGAATGAATTTCCAAAAGTCAGATTTTTGCTGAAATTGTGAGCCCGGGGCTTAGGGATTTTTTCAAAAAAATATTCCGCCGGTTATGTTCCTGAGGGCTGATTTCTTGTCCGTTGATGAAAAGCCTTCTGTTTCGACTGCCAAACCTTTCAGGTGAGCATTTGAAACCGTTCAGAACCATTTTTGAATGAATTGCCAAAAGTCAGATTTTTGCTGAAGTTGTGACCCCGGGGCTTAGGGATTTTTTCAAAACATATTTTCGCCGTTTATGTTGCTGAGGGCTGATTTCTTGTCCTTTGATTAAAAGACTTCTGTTTCGAATGCCAAACCTTTCAGGGGAGCATTTGCAAGCGTTTGGCACCATTTTTGAGTGAATTGCCAAAAGTCAGATTTTTGCTGAAATTGTGTCCCCGGGGCTTAGGGATTTTTTTCAAAAAAATCTTTTTCCGCCGGTTAAGTGATCGAGGGCTGATTTCTTGTCTTGTGATAGAAAGACTTCTGTTTCGACTGCCAAACCTTTCAGGGGAGAATTTGCAAGCGTTTGACACCATTTTTGAGTGAATTTCCAAAAGTCAGATTTTTGCTGAAATTGTGACCCCGGGGCTTAGGGATTTTTTCAAAAAAATCTTTTTCGGCCGGTTAAGTGGTCGAGGGCTGATTTCTTGTCCTGTGAGAAAAAGCCTTCTGTTTCGATTGCCAAACCTTTCAGGAGAGCATTTGCAAACGTTTGGCACCATTTTTGAGTGAATTGCCAAAAGTCAGATTTTTGCTGAAATTGTGACCCCGGGGCTTAGGGATTTTTCAAATAATTTTTTCCGCCGGTTATGTTGCTGAGGGCTGATTTCTTGTCCTTTGATAAAAAGCCTTCTGTTTCGAATGCCAAACCTTTCAGGGGAGCATTTTCAAGCGTTTGGCACCATTTTTGAGTGAATTGCCAAAAGTCAGATTTTTGCTGAAATTGTGACCCCGGGGCTTAGGGATTTTTTCAAAAAATTCTTTTTCCGCCGGGTAAGTGATCGAGGGCTGATTTCTTGTCCTTTGATAAAAAGACTTCTGTTTCGACTGCCAAACCTTTCAGGGGAGCATTTGCAAGCGTTTGGCACCATTTTTGAATGAATTTCCAAAAGTCAGATTTTTGCTGAAATTGTGACCCCGGGGCTTAGGGATTTTTTCAAAACATATATTCCGCCGGTTATGTTGCTGAGGGCTGATTTCTTGTCCTTTGATGAAAAGCCTTCTGTTTCGACTGCCAAACCTTTCAGGGGAGCATTTGCAAGCGTTTGGCACCATTTTTGAATGAATTTCCAATAGTCAGATTTTGCTGAAATTGTGACCCCGGGGCTTAGGGATTTTTTCAAAACATATTTTCCGCCGGTTATGTTGCTGAGGGCTGATTTCTTGTTCTGTCATAAAAAGCCTTCTGTTTCGATTGCCAAACATTTTGGGAGAGCATTTGCAAGCGTTTGGCACCATTTTTGAGTGAATTGCCAAAAGTCAGATTTTTGCTGAAATTGTGACCCCGGGGCTTAGGGATTTTTTCAAAAAAATCGTGTTCCGCTGGTTAAGTGATCGAGGGCTGATTTCTTGTCCTTTTATGAAAAGCCTTCTGTTTCGACTGCCAAACCTTTCAGGGGAGCATTTGCAGGCGTTTGGCACCATTTTTGAATGAATTTCCAAAAGTCAGATTTTTGCTGAAATTGTGACCCCGGGGTTTAGGGATTTTTTCAAAAAATATATTCCGCCGGTTATGTTCCTGAGGGCTGACTTCTTGTCCTTTGATGAAAAGCCTTCTGTTTCGACTGCCAAACCTTTCAGGGGAGCATTTGAAACCGTTCAGAACCATTTTTGAATGAATTGCCAAAAGTCAGATTTTTGCTGAAATTGTGACCCCCGGGGCTTAGGGATTTTTTCAAAACATATATTCCGCCGGTTATGTTGCTGAGGGCTGATTTCTTGTCCTTTGATGAAAAGCCTTATGATTCAACTGCCAAACCTTTCAGGGGAGCATTTGCAAGCGTTTGCCACCATTTTTGAGTGAATTGCCAAAAGTCAGATTTTTGCTGAAATTGTGACCCCGGGGCTTAGGGATTTTTTCAAAAAAATCTTTTTCGGCCGGTTAAGTGGTCGAGGGCTGATTTCTTGTCGTGTGAGAAAAAGCCTTCTGTTTCGATTGCCAAACCTTTCAGGGGAGCATTTGCAAACGTTTGGCACCATTTTTGAGTGAATTGCGAAAAGTCAGATTTTTGCTGAAATTGTGACCCCGGGGCTTAGGGATTTTTTCAAAAAAATCTTTTTCCGACGGTTAAGTGATCGAGGTCTGATTTCTTGTCTTGTGATAAAAAGCCTTCTGATTCGACTGCCAAACCTTTCAGGAGAGCATTTGCAAGCGTTTGGCACCATTTTCTGAATGAATTGCCAAAAGTCAGATTTTTGCTGAAATTGTGACCCCGGGGCTTAGGGATTTTTTCAAAACATATTTTCCGCCGGTTATGTTGCTGAGGGCTGATTTCTTGTCCTTTGATGAAAAGACTTCTGTTTCGAATGCCAAACCTTTCAGGGGAGTATTTGCAAGCATTTGGCACCATTTTTGAGTGAATTGCCAAAAGTCAGATTTTTGCTGAAATTGTGACCCCGGGGCTTACGGATTTTTTCAAAAAAAACTTTTTACGCCGGTTAAGTGATCGAGGGCTGATTTCTTGTCTTGTGATAGAAAGCCTTCTGTTTCGACTGCCAAACCTTTCAGGGGAGCATTTGCAAGCGTTTGGCACCATTTTTGAGTGAATTTCCAAAAGTCAGATTTTTGCTGAAATTGTGACCCCGGGGCTTAGGGATTTTTTCAAAAAAATCTTTTTCCGCTGGTTAAGTGATCGAGGGCTGATTTCTTGTCCTTTTATGAAAAGCCTTCTGTTTCGACTGCCAAACCTTTCAGGGGAGCATTTGCAAGCGTTTGGCACCATTTTTGAATGAATTTCCAAAAGTCAGATTTTTGCTGAAATTGTGACCCGGGGCTTAGGGATTTTTTCAAAAATATATTCCGCCGGTTATGTTCCTGAGGGCTGATTTCTTGTCCTTTGATGAAAAGCCTTCTGTTTCGACTGCCAAACCTTTCAGGGGAGCATTTGAAACCGTTCAGAACCATTTTTGAATGAATTGCCAAAAGTCAGATTTTTGCTGAAATTGTGACCCCGGGGCTTAGGGATTTTTTCAAAACATATTTTCCGCCGGTTATGTTGCTGAGGGCTGATTTCTTGTCCTTTAATGAAAAGCCTTCTGTTTCGACTGCCAAACCTTTCAGGGGAGCATTTGCAAGCGTTTGGCACGATTTTTGAGTGAATTGCCAAAAGTCAGATTTTTGCTGAAATTGTGACCCCGGGGCTTAGGGATTTTTTCAAAAAATATTTTCTGCCGGTTATGCTGCGGAGGGCTGATTTCTTGTTGTTTGATGAAAACCCTTCTGATTCGACTGCCAAACCTTTCAGGGGAGCATTTGCAAGCGTTTGGCACCATATTTGAATGAATTGCCGAAAGTCAGATTTTTGGTGAAATTGTGACCCCGGGGCTTAGGGATTTTTTCAAAAAATATTTTCTGCCGGTTATGTTGCTGAGGGCTGATTTCTTGTCCTTTGATGAAAAGCCTTCTGTTTCGACTGCCAAACCTTTCAGGAGAGCATTTGCAAGCGTTTGGCACCATTTTTGAATGAATTGCCGAAAGTCAGATTTTTGCTGAAATGGTTTCCCCGGGGCTTAGGAATTTTTTCAAAAAATATTTTCCGCCGGTTATGTTGCTGAGGGCTGATTTCTTGTCCTTTGATGAAAAGCCTTCTGTTTCGACTGCCAAACATTTCAGGGGAGCATTTGCAAGCGTTTGGCACCATTTTTGAGTGAATTGCCAAAAGTCAGATTTTTGCTGAAATTGTGACCCCGGGGCTTAGGGATTTTTTCAAAAAATATTTTCCGCCGGTTATGTTGCTGAGGGCTGATTTCTTGTCCTTTGATGAAAAGCCTTCTGTTTCGACTGCCAAACCCTTCAGGGGAGCATTTGCAAGCGTTTGGCACCATTTTTGAGTGAATTGACAAAAGTCAGATTTTTGCTGAAATTGTGACCCCGGGGCTTAGGGATTTTTTCAAAAAAATCTTTTTCCGCCGGGTAAGTGGTCGAGGGCTGATTTCTTCTCCTGTGATAAAAAGCCTTCTGTTTCGATTGCCAAACATTTTTATTTATTTATTTATTTATTTATTTATTTATTTATTTACGGCTATTAGCCCATAAAGTATGTACAAACATAAAAGCACAGAGGCATAAAGACTAATATATTCGGCACCAGAAGGTGAACACCATGATGCAGGGGTGGGTCATTGAGCAGAGCCAGATAACAGCTTGGGGCCCGGAGAGCTCCAAGGGACGGATCCCAGAAAAGGAGAACTGAAGACGGGATCCGACATGCACTCTCTTCAAAACTGACCGATTAGTTTTTGATGTTGTTGTTTTTGGTGGTTTTTGTGTGTGAGATAACTGCATTCAGGAATCTCGCCACCTGCAGAGTTACAGAAGGATCTGTATCCTGCAAAAGTAGTGCGGCATGTGACTCAGCAGGCCTGCCAACCAAGCGCAGTAAAGCAGGGCCCAGGAATTTAGTCCTGGCTATGCTATGTCGGGGACAGTTGAACATTATATGTGAGAGAGAATCAACAGTTTTCCCGTCACACACGCATAGCGGAGACACCAAACCCTTGGAAAATCTGTGGCTCAGCAGGTTCGATGGAAAGACATTGAACCTTGCACGAATAAATGCATGTCGGTGTGGTACAGATGAAAGAGATGACATGTATGATGGAAGGCCAAGTGGTGAGGTTATTCCGTGATACCTGGGGGAGCAGACACCCTCACCCCCGGCGAGGTTGTGTTGATTTTCAATGTCTGCTAATCTCTGCTCAATAAGTCTTTTGGCTGAGCGTAAGTTCATCTTTAAGGAGTCCGCTGGGGAAATTCCGATGCTCAGAAGTTTGGCATGGATTTTTCCTACCCATGGATTGACAAAGTCGTCCCGCCAGAGGCACTGAAAAAGGTAATGGTTGGGAAGCCTGTGCCAGCTGGACAGCCAATAACCAAAGACTCGCTTCCAGATGACCGTCTCCAATGATGCAATCCTTAACTCCAGACGTATGGCTGCGTTGCTCACACACATGGGGAGTTTCAGGAGGCGACGGAGAAACTGATTCTGCAATGTCCCCAACGATGTTAAATTGGACCCTGGGGCCCAGAGCGGGGCAGCATAACAGAGGGTGGAAACCACTTTTGCATGGTACACCTTCAATGCAGAAGGGATGTGGGAGGCTCCGTCGGCCGCAAAAAATTGGAGTAGAGTATAAAGTATTGTTTTCCCTTTGTTTAGTAAATACTGTATCTGTGGCTTCCAGCTTAGGTTGTAGTGAAAAAAGACTCCCAGGTATTTAAATTTGAAAACTTGTTCTAATTGGACTCCATCTAACTTCCAGCTGTAAGTTTTCCGAGACCTGGTAAAGACCAGGACTTTAGATTTCCCATGATTAATTGTCAGATGGTTGAGTTTGCAATAAGCCGCAAAAATCTTTAGAGCTCTGCATAAACCGACTCTAGAGTAGGAAAGGATCGCTGCATCGTCGGCATATAAGAGCAGAGGGCAGCGAAAATCAGCTAGGCGGGGGCATGAATGTTGGCTTGAGACTCATTCAGAAAGAGCTTCATATCGCTAATAAACAAGTTGAAGAGGAGTGGGGCCAAAATGCAACCTTGGCGCACACCTCTATTTATTGGGACCTCGTTGGATAGGTTTCCCGCCGGTGTGAGTCTCACTCTAGCCGACGACCCATGGTGTAATTGGGTTATAAGCCATAACAGCCTTCTATCTATGCCCCATCTCTCTAATTTCTTCCATAGACAGTTTCTTGGGATACTGTCGAAGGCGGCCTTTAGGTCTATGAAAGCGACACATAGGCGCCCCCGACTCGGGGCAGAATATTTTCTGGCAAGATGATACATGATTACCATATGGTCAGTGGTCGAATAATTGTTCCTAAAGCCCGCTTGCTCGTGGCCAATCAAATTTGAGTCGTTTGCCCAATTGGACAGCTTGGACAGCAAAAATTTTGCATAGATTTTCCCGATGATAGACAAAAGGCTGATGTTCCGATAGTTCTCCGGGTCAGCAGGGGGACCCTTTTTATGGACTGGCACGATCACGGCCTCCTTCCATGACCTAGGGATAAGCCCCGTAGAATTAATTGCATCAAAGACTTTGGCCAGGATTTCAGCCCACCACCTCGGTTGCGCAACAATAGCCTCAGCAGGGACTAGATCCAGCCCGGGGGCTTTGCCCGTTTTCAGATCTAATATCAAGTCCATTATCAGGTCTGGGTCGGTAGAGGGCCACAAAGGTAGATGGTCGGCTCGGAATTCAGTGGATGAGTTGGATTCCTCTGCCAAGGAGAAATATTTGCTCAAGAATTGTTCCCATGTGGGCGCAGGGATAATCGTCAGTGGGTACTTCCTTCCTCTTTTGTTTATCAAAGCCCAAAATTCCTGTGGTCTGCGGGATCTAGAGGCCGCAATCAAGGCTCGCCAACGCTTTAGATACCACTCACGTTTGGCCAGCTTTAAAGTCTGTTTGTATGCTCTTTTGGCTTGTAAATAGGAGGATGGTAGAGCCTGGGCATTAGAGTTTTTGTATTCATTATAGATGGAACGAAGAAGGGATCTTGCTTGTTTGCAAGAGGTATTAAACCAAGGGGCCCCAGCACTGCAATGCGCTACTTTCGCCTTTTGAGGAGGTAATGTAAAAAAGTGGTAAGGTTTGTTGTAAGAAGGTTAAAAATTTCAAAACCGAATTGGAATCTTGTAAATCAGTAGCTATTTGAGGTAGATAGGCAGTGATTTCCCTATGGAAAAAATCCTGGTATTTTTGGGCCACAGCCTCCGACCATTTGATCCCACTTATTTTGGTCGCTGATGAGGTTTCCAGAGGGACTGAGTGTTTATAGTCCTTCTGGTACCGGAACAATGACAAAGTGGTCACTATTGGGAGGTGATCACTGAAATGTTGGTTTTCAACCTGGAAGGAGAGTACATTGACGGCCAAATTTGCGGAGATCAAGAGGTAATCGATAACACTGTTAGATGCTGGTCCCAGGTGAGTGAACTCCCCGGTATATCGGGGGAAGGTGCCGTTCAAGAATACTAGATTCAGGCGAATGGCCATTTGGTAAAGGGTCACTCCAGCTTTGTTTACTCTGTTGTCCTTTGAAGTTCTAATTCTAGCATGTTCCAAGTCAAAGTTGCCCAAACATGGGGAGTCCACCATTTGGACTTGATTAGTAGGTCCCAATTTGTGGCAATTCGAGCATTAAAGTCTCCCCCAATTAAGGAGTACGAGTTAGGGCATTTGGTATGACATGACAATAGGTGATTTTCAAATGATTCCCATCTCCAATCAAGATCAGGTGCTGAGCCTTCGGGGGAGATAACCATTAGTAATTAGTAATGAGGACTTCCCTTCTGCGATCAGTCCAGAAAGAGCAAAAGGCGGGGAAGCCCGTACCAGGGTGAATTTGGCGCGAAGTTGGAGTGAGATCCCAATCAAAAGACCCCCTTTGGGGCGACCACCTTTCAAGGAAGGGGAGGCCGGAAGTGTTAGAAGATCAAAACCGTCTATGGTAATCTCTTCCTCATCCCATGTTTCTTGGAATAGGATGATGTTAAATGAATTTATGTACTTCCTGAATTCGGGGTCTGATTTTTGGTTCTCCAACCAGCAATGTTCCAGCTAAGTATTGATAATGTCGGGTCCTTGTGCTGTCCCGGTAATTGTCACTTTGAGTTGTTTAATGGGTTCTTGGAGGTAGAGCGAGGACCCATAAGGAAATCAGTAATTTTAGTTTGTGCGGATAAAGTCTTCTTCTGTGTTGATTGAATCCGTGATTTGGTAACATTAACAGGCAGGAAGGGCTTTGCCGGGGAGGAAGAATTAGGCAAAGTTGGTGAGGTCGGATGCTGTTCATTGAGGTGAGTAGTAGCAAGTCTTTGATGGGCTATACTAGTAGATCCATCAGAGTTATCAGTCTTAACCAGGGTAGCACTAGGAGGTGTTCCAGTCATCACTTGTAGTTGCTGCGCAGCTGGAGAAGAATTATCACGCAGATGTATAGAAGGACGTGAACGCGGAGATGGTACATGCATAGTCATTTCCTGGTGATCTTCAGACAGGGTAGATTCTAGCTCAGGCATTGAGGCAAAGGAATCGTCAACTTCCATATTTTGATTGGACATAAAGTCTAAGACGGGAGTATTGAGTTTATCAACTTCCTCCACGGTAGAATGGTGCTGTTGGAGCTGTTGGTCAACAGGTGATTGCTGATTCAGATCAGTAGGGGGTAACAAAGTAGCAGGTTGAGAGATTATCAGGGCATTTGATGGAGACGCCTTGTGGGACGTGGAGTGCCTGCTCTCCTCTCTCATCGGCATAGAGGGGTCCCCTTGCGATAGGAGTCTTTGTTTGAGTAGATCCAATCTATCGAGAATAGCCTGCTGTTCTTCTGAAGGGAGTTTTCCATAGGAGAGGATAAGATTTCTCTCTTCAGGGATATTCCAATCTCCGCTTGCAATTGGATCATTCCTCAGTGTAGCTAGATGGGCACTTGAGGTCGCAGATGGAGCAGGGGGTACCCAGCTAGGTGTTTTCCCCTTTATTATAGGAACAGAAGGAGGAAACGAGCGTTCATTGCCGGTTAAGATGTTGGCAAAAAGAGGTTTAACACTCGTGTCCTTAAAGACTCTTGTTGTTACAATCTCCCAGGGTGCCAGCCGATCTTTCTCTCTTGCAAGGAGATGTGGAATCCTTGCAGACTGGAAGGAGAGCATAAATTTCCTTGGCCAGGGCGTGGCAATTAGGGGTACTACAGATATAAGATCTATCTGGGAAAAAGGAATATTTAACAAATCACGTAGGTACCCTTTAGCCATCCTCAGGTTATTCCACCTAAGTCTGGGGGCGTCACGGGAAAAAATGGCTAGACATATTTTATTAGGTTGAAAAATCAAGGATTGCCTATTCCTTTGGGGCAGTGGCGGCCTGCATCTTGAGCTCTTAAGGTGAAATTTCTGGTCAGGTTGTCTCTTTAAGGCACTTACAAGCTGCACAGGAGATTGATGCAAATTAGATAGCTCAGTTGAGGAAGGTAGATGAGCCAGAAGGGCCCGTGAAAGTTTATTCAATGTCAAAGAAATCCCTCCAATTCCTTGAAAATGAAGCTTAAAGTCCTGATTACCAGTTGTATTTGATCAGGTACTAATTCATGGGCAGTTTGCCCTAATGCGTCCCGTTTCAATGACGGAGGTGTAATTAGGGTATCAGGGAGGAGGGCTTCCCTATGGCTTCCGTCCCCCGCTGGATCAGCTAGCTTTTCCGGCTCTCCTTGATCATACAGAGGCCAAAAGCGGTTGTATGTTTCGACCGCAGAAACAATTACTTGCTCTGTTTTGCTGTTATTGTTAGTAGATGGTGGGGGAGATTCAAGCTTCGACTGCTTTACTCTTGGAGGTGAGCAACCTTTCTCAGCAGATCTTGGTCGCTTGCCATGACCCATTTGTCGCTGTCTCACTAACTACGGAGGTTCAAAGTAGAGATAAACGGAGATAAAAGAGAGAACTTATCTTTTATGGGCGCAACTCCTCTGCTACTCCTCCTCCTCCACTTCTCAACATAGCCCAGTCTTCAAGGCGGCGTTACTAATCAGCGACAGGCTTTCTCAGCAGAGGGTTTGAATATCCTTGTTGATACGTATATTGGCACCAACAGGCCAACCGTAGAAGTAAAACGATTAAAAACTTCTAACAGAAGTAAAATAATTTAAAAGTCTAATAAAACAACTATAAAAACGGCAGTAAAAAGCTATAAAAGGCTATAAAAGGTTTGAAATCCGGAGGGTTCACGAAGGAGAAGTTGTTACAGCCGCCATCTTCAAATCCCGGTGCTTAGGAATTTTTTCAAAAAATATTATCCTTGACCCCGGGGCTTAGGAATTTTTTCAAAAAATATTTTCCGCCCGTTATGTTGCTGAGGGCTGATTTCTTGTCCTTTGATGAAAAGCCTTCTGTTTCGACTGCCAAACCTTTCAGGGGAGCAGTTGCAAGCGTTTGGCACCATTTTTGAGTGAATTGCCAAAAGTCAGATTTTTGCTGAAATTGTGACCCCGGGGCTTAGGGATTTTTTCAAAAAAAATCTTTTTCCGCCGGGTAAGTGATCGAGGGCTGATTTCTTGTCCTTTGATAAAAAGCCTTCTGTTTCGACTGCCAAACATTTCAGGGGAGCATTTGCAAGCGTTTGGCACCATTTTCGAGTGAATTTCCAAAAGTCAGATTTTTGCTGAAATTGTGACCCCGGGGCTTAGGGATTTTTTCAAAAAAATCTTTTTCTGCTGGTTAAGTGATCGAGGGCAGATTTCTTGTCCTTTTATGAAAAGCCTTCTGTTTCGACTGCCAAACCTTTCAGGGGAGCATTTGCAAGCGTTTGGCACCATTTTTGAATGAATTGCCAAAAGTCAGATTTTTGCTGAAATTGTGACCCCGGGGCTTAGGGATTTTTTCAAAAAATATATTCCTCCGGTTATGTTCCTGAGGGCTGATTTCTTGTCCTTTGATGAAAAGCCTTCTGTTTCGACTGCCAAACCGTTCAGGGGAGCATTTGCAAGCGTTTGCCACCATTTTTGAGTGAATTGCCAAAAGTCAGATTTTTGCTGAAATTGTGAACCCGGGGCTTAGGGATTTTTTAAAAAAAATCTTTTTCCGCCGGGTAAGTGATCGAGGGCTGATTTCTCGTCCTTTGATAAAAAGCCTTCTGATTCGACTGCCAAACCTTTCAGGTGAGCATTTGCTAGCGTTTGGCACCATTTTTGAATGAATTGCCAAAAGTCAGATTTTTGCTGAAATTGTGATCCCGGGGCTTAGGGATTTTTTCAAAAAATATTTTCCGCCGGTTATGTTGCTGAGGGCTGATTTCTTGTCCTTTGATGAAAAGACTTCTGTTTCGACTGCCAAACCCTTCGGTGGAGCATTTGCGCGCGTTTGGCACCATTTTTGAGTGAATTGACAAAAGTCAGATTTTTGCTGAAATTGTGACCCCGGGGCTTAGGGATTTTTTTCAAAAAAATCTTTTTCCGCCGGTTAAGTGGTCGAGGGCTGATTTCTTGTCCTGTGATAAAAAGCCTTCTGTTTCGATTGCCAAACATTTTGGGAGAGCATTTACAAGCGTTTGGCACCATTTTTGAATGAATTGCCAAAAGTCAGATTTTTGCTGAAATTGTGACCCCGGGGTTTAGGGATTTTTTCAAAAAAATCTTTTTCCGCCGGTTAAGTGATCGAGGGCTGATTTCTTGTACTTTGATGAAAAGCCTTCTGTTTCGACTGCCACACCTTTCAGGGGAGCATTTGCAAGCGTTTGGCACCATTTTTGAATGAATTTCCAAAAGTCAGATTTTTGCTGAAATTGTGACCCCGGGGCTTAGGGATTTTTTCAAAACATATTTTCCGCCGGTTTTGTTGCTGAGTTGATTTCTTGTCCTTTGATGAAAAGCCTTCTGTTTCGACTGCCAAACCTTTCAGGGGAGCATTTGCAAGCGTTTGGCACGATTTTTGAATGAATTTCCAAAAGTCCAATTTTTTGCTGAAATTGTCACCCCGGGGTTAGGGTT